GAATATATTCCATGGCTCATCCGAAAATAACTCCGGCATTCCTTTCACTTAATTATAATCCCTCGATATGATCGTTATCAGTTATATTTATTATTTAAAAATAAAATCTACCTATCCGTTAATCTATCAATAACCATAAACTCTCAAATCATGCACCTACGTTAGCAACATAAGGAGTATCTCCAACAACAAGAACAATCATCTTTATGGTACCACTTAACGCATCTTTGACATCAATCTCACTAGATAATATTTCCATAAGTCTATGAACATTCATCATTGTTTTAGGACTGGATATTAATACATATATATATATATATCGAATTTTAATACATAAGATATCATATATTAATATTTTTGTGATTTTACATTTATAGTATATTATAATTTTCTAGTCCGCAGAGATAAACAATCTCGTACTACACTAAACTTGATCTTTTACTATATATTATTTATGTTAAGCTTGTTTTTAATTTCGTTTACCAATAAAAAAAATAAAACCATGCTCCCCCCACCTTCCTGATGCTGCCACGTCATCATCCCAAACCATCACCATCGTTCTTTTAACCTTTTTACTTTTACTTAAGTCAACCCCAAATTCATAACCCTTTCTAACCACTCATATCCGTCCACGTCATCATATGTTTTCAACCGCTCTTTTTTATCCTTTTAAAATTTTGGTCAAAATTTGATTTTAATCTCTCTACTATGCTTAAAATTGGAACTTATCCACATATATAATTTTAACATAATATAATCCTCTAATTGTATAATATCATTAATTAATCTAAATAATCAACTACTTCAATTAAAATACTAATGTGTTTTACTTAAATATACCCATTTCAACGTAGAAGAAAATAATGCAAGGGTCACACCTTGAGAAGTGGAATGAATTAATCTGATATCGTAAAAACAATCCTTGGGTTTATAAGACATCCTATAAGGGATTCATAGAGGGTGTTGGGGTGGGGCTGCACCCCTATAAATTTTAAATTCTCTTAAATTTTAAATTCTTTTGAATATTTGATTTTACACTGAACATCCTAATGTGTGAGATAAACAAGATAGACAATTGTCATATTAAACAAGATAAACAAGATAGTACGTAACAAAAATATCGCAAAATAAAGTAGAAAAAATGTAATGCTCTAAAGAGATGAGAGATATGAATATCATATTAAAAAGGAAAAAGAGTATTCTAAAGTTTATAAGTGATGTCGTTATACATCTTATTAACCTAGTTACTTCATAACAAAAGTTGTGTTAATATGATAAGTTGAAAAATATATTTATAGCAAAAAGAAAAATAAACTCTTTAATATTTTAAATGAAATAGTTAACAATGTTAATGATTTATACTAACTAATGATATTGTAGAAATAGATGATCAAATTATACCAAAATAAAATATAGGAACTAAGTCTTAATGATTTAGTATAGTAGAGGACCAAAACTACAATTTGACTTAAAAAATGTCCCCCAACCTATCTGCTTTCACTGTTTCTAACATTTTATCCACCTTTTGTTGTCGTTGATCATGTTGTCCTTTTTTCCAATATCAATTCCGGCAAGCCGCCGTGAACGTTTGGAAAACAACGTTACCGGCGGCGGGGAACTCGTCCATAGCAAAACTCCGGCATTTGAGTCCCAGCGGTTCCATGGCACGAGCCACCCTCGTCCAAACCTCACGTCGATGGCTGGTCGTCGAGACCGAAACGTCGCCGGCTGGAAGACCTGAACCGCTTTCTTCAAGGTCTCGACATGTCGTCCTGGTCATCGTAAACAGACCCAACACTCTCGAAGCTCGCGTAACTGAACCCATCTTCAGGCGTAACATGGATCGTCGAGTAACGATCACCGTCGACCCCGTTCATGGAATAACCACAAGGATCGAACTCGAAATCACAAACGAAAGCTCGTGGATTAATGTTGTCGATTCCAGCCAACTCATTCATTCCCTTTGCAGCCAACGAGTCGTGGTTTGTTTTGAAGAATTTTCGAGCCATGATTCGGTCAAGTCCCGTCGTGCAAACTTCGACGGTGAAAATGTCGCCGGAAAAGAAATGATCACCGTCTACGGCGGATAAGACATGCCACGAACACGAAGGGAGTCTCGATGGCGTAACGGAGGCTTTCCTGAAGCAAAGATTGTGTGGAAAATTCTCTTCAATGTAAACCACTTCTTGCTTGAAGTTAAGATGAGGGAACGGCTGTGATTTAGGGAAGATGAAGCTGCCTCGAGTGTACCTACACCCGCATAACGTGAGGCCGAGATTGTTCGTCAAACGAATTAACGGCCGAATCGATTTGAGAAGCTGAATGGTCCCACAGGTCTTGATGATGATCTTGATAGGGTACATAAACAAACTCGATTCCGACAACACGTTAGCATCAAAGTAATGGTTTCCGACGGCCGGTGAAATCGATTTTAAGTGCGTCGAAATCAATCAGCTGGAAACCATTGCCGTCTCCGTTGAAATGGAGTTCAAGGCGTTTTTCGAAGCCTTCAAAGCCCGAAACAGCCATTGCCGGAAAAACATTACCAAATCGGAAAAACAGAGTTGAAAAGAAGACCAATCCGGTGGGAGTTTGATGGAGGAGAAGAGAGAGGAGAATTTATAGGGAGATTGGGAGTGGGAAGGCATGCGGGTTGAGGCAAGGAAGAATGATGATTTGCAGGCATAATGAAGTGAGGAAGATGATGATTAACGTTGTCAACTTTGGAATTTCATTTGGGGGGAGATCTTTGATGAGACATGTAATCTTATCTAATTACATGGGGAATACAGTATTGTTCATAAATAACTTATGATTTAGTCGTTGTTAGAATCATATAGATCGATGGAAAATTAATATTTCATCCCTCTTATTAAATTTATTCCTTTTAGATTTTAATTTTTTTTATTAAAAACGTCTAATTAAAAAATAATAAATAATAATATTTTTTTATTTTTATATATCTAATTCTTTCATATTTATAAAAATAAATCTATCGAATCAATTGATTACCTTTAAAGACATTTTTATTATTTTCCTCAATAATTAAACGATAGAAATAATATTTTAAATAATGAGATAAAATTAATAATTATATTAAGTTGGTGATTCAACCAAATCATCCATTGTATTGGTTGATAAATTAATAATGTTGAATGGAAATTTCTTAGATATAAGATTGATTATACATAAAATTTTAGATAAAGTATATTATAGATCATTGAATCATGTTTACCTGATTGTTTTAGTTAATAAATTTTTAAAAATTATAAAATAATTATAAAATTTAACCTTTTTTCACAAAATGAACTGTAATGTTGTATTAAATTATAAAAGTTTGATAAATTTAATAATTATTTGATAAATTTTTGATAAATTTTATGATATTTTGTATTAATTTTGATTATCATATCGTAGTTTGATAAAGTTAATGATCATTTTATAATTTTAAAAAATTTAATCGTAGTCATGTGTATATTTCCCGTAATTCTGATTCCAAAACCGAGCAACGTCCCATAGCTCTTGTGAATCCCACAATCCATTACTCATTGGCATCTCGAATTACTCCGCCACAGGTGGCCAAACCTGAGTTGGAATTTCGAGCCCCATCCGTCTTTAGTTTATACCAAGCCTCCAGGGGTGGATTCCAGTTGTGCGATTGAGCCCTGGTATTGTTTTACTCAGGTTTGCATTTGATGCTTCCATTGGCAGTTGGATAACATGACTACATAGAGTACGTAGGTAGCGCTGTTAAGACCGAATTGACCCATCAAACGTATAATGATCCTTTTATAATAATTCGATAAGTTTTTTATAATTTACCCTATTGATTTTTACAGGGGCATGTAACAAGTTGCCTTTAGCCGCCATATATATGTATGCTTTGCATGCGTATACATCTACCACACATGTTGCAATATTGTGCAAAATGATGCCCAATATTACTTGATGGGTATTTTTTTTAAGCTTTGGGAGCACTAATGAACTTTACTGAGAGCTACTGTACCACGCGCATACAATTTGGAAACAGATTGTAGAAATGGTCCCACTATGCTTTCACTATATTACTGGTAAGGTGGTTCTTCAATGTTAATTGAATATAAGTGTTAGGCACATATATAAATTCATAGATTTATTATGCCATTTAATGCTGTTAATCATTAATATTGTTGTATTTTTTGGATCTCCTTTGTAAATGGTAATTTCGCTCTACTTTTTCCTTTGATCAAAGTTTTAACAAGAATTCTTTCGTTGATTGAAGTTTCAGAAGGTGGTTTGGTTCAAGATTGGTTCTCAAATCTTCTTCGAGGGTGGCCTTGACTACCTAGACAACCCGAACCTCATCTATAATTAGATCATCCTTGCAATCTGGACTGGCCAAGCTGTGCAGATGGGATTTGTTGAAGGATACAAAGTTGGGCTGTCGAGGATAAGGGTGGGGCGAGGATACAATTTGGAGTTTAAGGTTTGATATTGAGGTTTAAGGTTTGAGTCTAAATTTTAAAGGTATAATTTAAGATTTTTAAATTTATTTTTTATTATAATCCTACATGGTATTAAATTGAAATTTGAGTAGTTTGAAATTTGAGTAATTAAATTGAAAACTTTTATATTTTAGTGATAAAAATAAGAGTGACAAGATAGTTGAGTGATGAATAATGTAGCTTACCCATAAATTAGTTAATTAGAATTTTATCATATTTGATTACCTATTTTCTTCTGATATAAAAATGATAAGGAAAAAGAAACATACATTTTTATCGATTTGAGTTAAGGGTATAGAATTAATATATATATATATATTGAAAATATTTGTGTTTATGTGGGTTTGAATTTTTGTAAATTTTTTAATTTAAATTTTTTTTGTTTGAAATATGACGATCCAATTGAAAATTTAATCATAATACAATGACTTGTATTATAATTCTAAAATAATAATACAAAACGTAAATTTACCGAGCTTTTTTCTCCCGACTTTTGTTTAGCAGTTTTTTTTTTAATTCCCATAATTCGAAGTGATCAACGGATCCTTTCACGCTTTTTCCTAGAGCTGACCCGCGGGTTATTCGATTAACTTGTGATCCGTGTGGGTTTCGGACCTTAAAAATTGAAAATCGTTTAAATTGTGAATTTTTTAGTCCGGACCATTAAACCCACAGGTTACCCGTGAAACCCGCTAAAGCTCGCTTAATTTAAAATTCATAAAATTTTAGAAAAAATAAATTTAAAGAATTTTATAGAAAAAAATAAATTACCTATAAATATGATGTTACTTATAACTATTGTAGTTTTTAAATTTATTAGGGTGTTTGTCATAATTTTGCCACTTCTTAATATTTTTTTCATTTAAATATACATCATTATCATTTTGGTATTTAAAGATTTTTTTATTTAATTCTGACATTCATTTTTTTTCATGAAGTATGTTATCCATTTTATTCTTTAATTATAAAAAGTCACGTGATATTCTAATAATATATCACATGACATGTAATATTTAAATTAAAAATAAGAAAGAAAAGTAAAAGAAAAAATTAAAAACATATTTTTCAACTTTTAAAGACTTTTACAAAATAAATATATTTTAACAAATTAATGACTTATATTTTATCAATTTTAGTATAACTATATCTTTCAAATTTACTCTTATACTATAAGTATTTTATTTTATATTTTTATATTATGTTTTAGTCTTTCTCTAAAGTATTCATAAAATACAATCATTATGACAACTTGACAACTTTCTTGTTAGATTTGTATAATGTTTGATTTTGTTGAATTTTTATGTTTGAATTTCTGCTTTTAGACACTTCGATATCTTCATATTATAACTTTAAATAATCGTGTTTTATAAAAGTATAATGTGATTATTATTTTATTTGTTTTTCAATTTGGTGATATAAATAAATATTATTTTTTAATTTGAGTTTAAGTAATTATATCATTATATATATATTTATATTAATGATTAAAAAATTAAAAAATATATTATTTTATAATTATTTCTGGTTATTTAAAATAAAATTTAAATATTGTTTATTATTTTGAAGGTGTTACCTTCCTTTTCAAGTTGCTCGATCATTTTTAAAGGCGTAATAAGTTAAAACATTATTTTTTATTGCATTTAAAGCATTTAAAATTATTTTTATTTAACGGGCCGTAAATAAGACCGTTTAACCCATATATTAAATGGACAACCCGCGAATCTTAAAACCGTTTATGAATACGGACTTTTTAACCAGTTCCGTTTAAACCCGTAACGTCAAAACCCACGGGTTAAGTGCAGGCTTAAACGGGCGGCCTCTACTTTTTCCCCTCAATCTACAAATCCTTCATCGAAACGGAATCGAGAGAATTGAATTTTGAGTCGTATATTCATCAGAGCTTTTGATCCATCATGTCCTTCTCATTCTTCAAGCCGTCAAGGCCCAAAACCCCGACAGAGGTAACCAAGGCGATCAAGGACAGTCTCATGGCACTCGACATCAAAACCATTTCTGAAGTTAAATCTCACGAAAAGGTTTTTCTTCTCTTCTTTTTATTTTTTGATCTGGGTCATTTTTTTCTTATCTTGGTTTAATTTCATGCATTCTTTCATTTTTTTTGGATTAGGACGAAGTGTGTGAATCTTAGATTCGTTGTAATATTGAAATTATGAAATGGGTTTCATGAATTATTTCATTTGGGAACGATTTTTTTTTTGCTTTTTTTAAATATTTCACATTTTATTCATTTTATTGGGATATGAAGAAATGGTGAATCCCCCTATTTGTTTCTGTAAATTAGAAAATTCATTGCCCTATGAACTATTGAAATTGAGGTAGCTCTCCCTTGATTTGAACCTGAGACCTCCAAATGGAATGTTCAATTTCTAATGCTATTTGGGGGGTGGATGCTTGCTTGGTGTCAATGTCTGTTAATGTTGTCTCATGGTATCAAGGAAAACCTTGTGATCTTGTTTCTGAGGGATTTTATATTTGGGAATACATCAAGAATGGATTAGAATTTGGATATTGATAGTTTGTTTAAGTATTAGGCTATGGAAGAAGTGGAAAAGAATTTCGTGACAATGAGATGCATGCTTTCCGGAGATGGGGAGGTTGAACCGGATGTGGATCAAGTCTTAGAGTTGGCACTTGAAATTTCTAAAGAGGATGTCCTTTCTCTTCTTGTTCACGAGTTACCCTCTCTAGGATGGGAAGTAAGTTCTTGATATTTTTACCATTTTGGCTCATATATGGTTATTTATTAAGCATCCCAATGTGATATATTTGTTTACAGGCAAGAAAAGATTTAGTACACTGCTGGTCCATATTGTTGAAGCAACAAATTGACTCCAGATATTGCTGTGTGGAGTACATTGAGAACCATATGGAGTTACTCGACTTTCTTGTAGCTTGGTAAGGTTATGAATGCCATTTTTCACGTTCATCTTTGTCGATGCCTTTTTTTCTCTCTTCTTTTCAACTTGAAAACCTCTATAATTTATTGTCTATTACATGCTAATCAAATGCGTATAAACCAGGTTTAGTGCTACTGTTTCTCTCTTCTCTATTTGTTTTATTCAGAGTGGGTTGTTCATCTTCATAGGATGGCATTGACCAGTTTGTTTACCGAAATAACATTTAAAATTCATTATAGTTTGGTTTATAAGAGTGATTTCTATCTTTTGCAAGCAGCTATGATAACAAGGAAATTGCTTTACATTGCGGAAATATGTTGAGGGAGTGCATCAAATTTCCAACACTTGCACAGTAAGGCATATGATCTTTATGAATTTTCTTTAACATGATTGAAGTACTTAATGATGTTGCTGAAATGATGCTATGGTTATAGAAGTTGCTTCTTCCCCAATAATGATTGTTAAGGATTTTGGAGGAGATATTTTCTTTAATTATATTTTATATCATCTAAACTTGCATGTTACCAATTATCACATTCATTTGTATGCTGATTTTTTAAAGGTTTTTGCATGCTCTTTTACAAGTACAATTTTATGTACTTTTTTTAGGTGAGGAAGCGAAACATGCATGAAATATGATCTTTAAGTTTAACATTCAGATACTTGGTAATCGCCACTTCCAATATCTTATGTTGATGCTAACTGAAGATTAGATTCCTGCACATAAATTTCTTTTTCATATTACAAATTGGGATGCTTTAAAAGATCAAGTGTAAAAGCACCTTGCATACAGGAAAATTCAGGACTGGATAAGTTAAGAGGGTGGTGACACATTACTTATTTTAGAAGTGATGGTTTCTGCTTTTATTGGATGTCAAACTATTTGCTGATTTATTTCTACAAACTAGTCCAAGTAACCTAAAGGAGGAAATTTAGCTACTAGATCACTTTCTTCATTTTAAGCTCATGTCTTTCTTTTTAATATTTTACTGAAACGAAAGTTTCAGTTTTTCACCAGTTAAATTTTGTAGTGGTTTTTCAGATACATGTTAAATTCCGCTAGCTTTGTGTTGTTCTTCAAATATGTGGAGCTGCCCACCTTTGATGTTGCTTCTGATTCATTTTCAACATTTAAGGTTAGATGGTTTAGTTTTTAAATCTTAATGGTACTTTTGTGTTAAGTATATACATTTTTGGGTTCCATGCTTTCTTCCTCTTATATGTCTTTCACTGAATTTTCTCAGGATCTGCTTACAAAACATGGAACAGTGGTATCTGAATATTTGACTGCTCACTATGATGAGGTACACTTACATAGTGCTTTATCTCATATCTTATGCGACTCCAGAATGATCTAGGCTGAGCCTGCTTTTGCTTTAGAATTGTATGCTGATCAAAGGTTTCACTAGATAACCTGCTGAACTAACAAATTTCTTCAACAATATATATATATATATATATATACCTTTTTGGTAAATGACATCAAACTACACCTGATGAATCTGCATATGGTGTGTAGAGCTGTGAAGATATCTTTTTTCTTAAGTTTGTTGAAATATTGATTTTTCCATTTTCGCTTTTGGCTTGCTAATGAGGTTTCATTGTTCCAGTTCTTCGATATGTATGAAAAGCTTTTGACATCTTCTAATTATGTGACAAGAAGGCAGTCTTTAAAGGTCGGTTCTAAGGTCTTTTTCTCTTCCAGTTTTTGCTCTATTGCTATGTTTTGATTGGTAATGCTGCATTGTTTTCTGTTTAGCTTCTATCGGACTTTCTTTTGGAGCCATCAAATTCCAATATAATGAAGCGCTATGTTTTAGAAGTTCGATATTTGAAAGTCATGATGACATTGCTGAAGGTACTTATTAACTATACTTTTGCTCCTTTATGACTCTATTGGTGTTAATTGGGTTGAATCATCCACTGGGCCTGAAGGGACATAAAAGACCAGCAATGCAAGAGTGAAAGCCGGGAGTTTCAGTTGGTATTTATGTTTTATAGAAACAACTTGAACTTATTAGACATTATTTTGGATATTCAACTTTGAATAGATAGGACCTAGTTTAACCATTCAAGCTCTCTGGTTTGACTTGTATGTTTGATAATATTGTCGTAGTCTACTTCCTTGGTTACATTATTAAATCAATGTTGCTCGGACTTGGGAGTGAGTGTCAAAATACGGATTTGTGGCACATAAGTATCATCAATTCTTATAGAAGTTTTCCGTGTATTTGGAGGGTCAAATTCACATACTCTTGTCTAAAAATTTCTCAGACATGAGTGTCATTTATAGTATTAAGTATCTTAACCGTTGAGAGTAACTTGTTTGCAATTGTAGGTTATATGCTTTGAATTTTTATTTTCGTATCCTTTTTGTCAAACCAGGATTCAAGCAAAAACATTCAGATTTCAGCTTTCCACATTTTCAAGGTGATATTTTACCTCTCCCATTTCGCCTTTCTCTCGTTCACACACATGCACATCATTTTCGCAAGTCCCCATCACAAGCCTACCCGTGCACATGAATATGTTCCGTCATGAATTCTAGAAAGCCTCTTCATAAAGAAAGCCTTGTGGCAGTGTTATTTGTTAATAATCGGACACAAAAAGATGACTGATGATAATGAGTTTGAAACTGATAGAGACGGCACTCGTATGCACCACACTGAACTTTGTTAACCATAGTAACTTGAAGAGACGAGCCGAGTCATTCAAGTTAACTTCTTTCAACTCGGCTATGGTTCTCAATGTCTCAACTCTCTCTCACTTTAATATGTCTTGGTAAATGTGAACTCGTTTGCATCTCATGATGGTGATAAGATGTTCTGCCCGACATCTCTGCAGATATTAGTGTTCAATTTTGACCATTGAGATTGAAATTTAACCTCAGGTTATTATGAATTTGGGTATAATTCTGCGGCATTTTCAACGTATTACTTGGACTATTAGCCTACATATATGTATGAAAGCGAAAAAAAAACATTTAAAGGTTATTAAAATTGTTCTAATTTATTATATATTTTGCTATTAACGTGCAGGTTTTTGTTGCTAATCCGAACAAGCCAAAAGAGATCAAGATTATTCTGGCAAAAAACCATGAGAAGTTGGTAGATCTTCTTCAAAATCTCTCGGTAAAAGGTACTTCTTTTGGCCATACATTTTTTGTACGAATGACACTGGATGTATGGTTTGGTTAAAAACTTTCCATTCGTAACCATTTCTTCAGTTGTCGTTGTGCTCATCTGTTAAGAAACAATTATCTGTCACAGGTGGTGAAGATGAGGAATTCGAGGAGGAAAAGGAACTAATTATAAAGGAAATCGAACAAGTATCACGGTTGCATAACCTTAAACGCTAAGTTTCTTCTCCTTGTTTGCTCTACTTCTATTGAATGCTAGTTCCAAGCATTGATCATCCGTGGCGTGGAAACTGATTTCCAAGGAAAGTAGAGTTTCGGGCAAGGATTATCTGACCTTTGATATAAGAGAGTATATAAATAAAATGGTAAGCCAGTCTAATATCTTGTTTAGGAATGTCAATGCAGTCTGGTATTATTTGATTTTCAAAGTCGTCGAAGGCGATTGTCCGAGTCATCTAGCTACCAGTCTTCGTACTTTACTTACATATTTGTGTATTGTGTCCGAATCCGATACCTGGATCGGGGTGTGTCTCTGTGCTTTCATAATAAGTGTCGATTGGTTGTATTCGATACTCGGATCCAGGTATGCAAATATAATTGAAACATTATTTCCTTAACAAAGTACAGGTTTGGTTTGTATGTCCTTTTATTTGTCGTATAGAATCATTTGGGCATTTCGTTCATTAGGGATTAAACGTAAAATGGATGAAATTAATATAAGTGTTGGAAAATATTAATAATTTAGTTTTAGAAAAGAAATATAGGGTAATTAGATTCTGAGATCAAATTCAACTTATTCTTTTGATGAAAATATAAATATTGAGAATTAAGTTTAAGAAAATGATTTCTCGAATTATTTTGAAATCTATCGAGATATATAACCATAAATTTAATTAAATAAATCATTTATAATCGACATTTTTTTACGATTCACAATGAGTACTTGAATCTTCATGTATTTCAAGAGTCCTTAAAGGATATTCTCTTACCCGTCTCGATATGTATCAGAAACTGATTGTACAAGAAGAACAAGAGTCGGAACAGCAAAGAAATGCAGTGCTCTTTTTCCCCTCTAACCAAACATAAAGGAGAAAAGGAGAGAAAAATCCTCTAAGAAGGTTCAATTACAGTGCTGGAAAATTGTGAAAATATCAGTGTCAAAGTTCATCGTGCATAGGTTGCTGTAATGGCAGTCCCTTATCAGGAACTACATTACCATCGAATCGACCTTGGTTAATACCTTCTTCTACGGCTTTGCGAGCAAGCTCCGGTTTTCCGGCCATTCCGGCTCTTATGGCTGCTGTAATTGTCCTCTGCAACTTAAGTATGCCAATTCGCTTTGAAACAACGTAAAGTACAGCAAACGAGAACAATAAAAATCCCACTACGAGTATTACCCTGTCCAGACATGATGCAGCATAAGCTGTGACGTCCTAGAATATAAAGGGAAACCAAACTTCTTGATAATACCTGTCAATAACATCGTGGCGTTGCATCGTCGACAGTAGATTCCGAGTTCGTGACAACAATGATTTGTGCCCCTTGTATTCACTTTCAGCCTTCTTTAATACTCCCGTAGATTCCTCTACACTTGCAACATGCATGATATAAGTCAACAAATGGAATGCACTAACTCCAGTCTATGTTCCAAAAATCCAAAACAGATTTGCCAAAGCAACATAGATATAATTCTCATATCAGTTTCTTAAGGAGAACATGAACATTTAATCAAACCTCGGACAAACATGACTCCATTCGTAAGTAACGAATTTTCTAAAACCACACTACTTTCAGTAAGTTTCATTAAATAAACATTTCGGAATGGGGATATGAAGACATACCGAAAGTCATGAGGGTGTTTGTGCTTCTTTCGACCTCCTATATAGACGTATATGTAAAGCAACAAAACCATATTGGGAAAACAATAAGGAGCTGTACTATAAGACCATCAAAGATAAATTAAAACGAAGAAACAGAAGCGAAAAAAAAATCATGTTACCAACCTGAACCATCAATTGACGAGAACGGCGAAGGCTCTCCGTGATGCTTTCTGCAGCAGATGTCATTCCAGCCTTCGTCCTGAAAATGATTATGAGTTATATCGAAAAAAGCAGAAGATTATTATTCTATTTTCGTTCAAAAAAGTTACCACATAAAATTCTGGGATTTTAGGCTAATTACTACGTCATGAAGGCCAAAGAAACTATAAATAGAAGAAAAAAATCTAATACATACTGCAAATTGCGCCGACGAACCGTGGATTCTTCTCCACCACCGAGAAGAAGTTCTCTCTACAAAAGATACAAAAATATAACTATGACTTTGTGAGAAACCGAAAAACAGAACATTTCTCATAATGTAATTAACAACATATCTATCAAACTTTGCATAGGGAAGTAACCATCTTCAGATACTGTCACAAACAAAAATATTTTACACATCAAAGGGCTATTACTGGGGATTTAAATTACGATCCGCATTCCCGATTGCATGATGTTTATTTCGGTTGCAGACCTAATGGACACAATTAAATCAAATATCGACAGCAAAGTACACCGAAACCATAAAGAAAATGACAATCCATGGCAATTACTATCAGTTTAGCAAATGAAATTTCCTACCTCTTTCTGAGTAGTTTTCCTCATATTATCCTTTGCTTGTAAATTCGCATTCCTCAGACTCAATCTCAAACTAATCACAGTAAAAACAATGAGATCTCATTACTAAATGCAATTAAAATACTAACAAGATTTGCTAAATTGCAGCTAAACACAATTAACATTGGAATTAAAAGTTTCAATCTATTAAAACAATAACTAAAACGCAAAACCCAACACCCAAAACCCAAAACCAAATAACAAAAAAAAAATCGCATTTTCGATACAAAACTCAAAATTTGGTGTTTAAATTCACCTTTGGGATTGACTTTTCCAAGTTTCGAGAATAGCTTTAGCAGACTGGACCTCTTCATCGGTAGGAAGCTGTGGAGCGAGAAGATCGAGATTGAATTGCAATGAATTAAGCAAAGCCAAACCGTCTTGAGCCAACCCGTTTAATCTGGGCAATGAATTTTTGATCTTAGTTTCCTCCATTGTTGATTTCCCATATTCTTGAATCTCTTGTATGTGTTTCTCGGTATTTGAATAGGCTTCGTCCCACGCTTTCTTTGTCTTCTCCACTTCTTCCACCACCTCGTCCATTTCTCTGTTTTTCAATTTTCGTTTCTAGTTTTTTTTTATTATTATTGTCTGTTTGGTTGATGAGAAAATAGAATGGAAAATTTCCAGGAGGTTTGATTTCAGGGATCTACGAGGTCATCAGAATGGAAAAGTTGATCTTAGTTAGATAAATTATACCGGTCATTTTTAGTTTATAGTTTTTCATGAGTTAATCCTTTATTTCAAAAAGAAAAAAAAGATCATTTATATTATATTATTAATTTATTATATTTTAAACATTAAACCACTAATATTAACTTAACACGTAGCGTACTAATTAAAAGAATTAATTTTTAAATCGTCATATAAAATTATTTAAATTCATCAAATTTAAAATAATTATCAATATTACTTAGATCATAAGTTTAATACCCGCTAGAATGGGAATAAGTGTTGAACTCACAACCTAAGTTAAAAGAGATGTGTCATGTGAGAGTTTTTAACCACCTACTATAGAGATTATTGATTAATATGTATATTTATATTTACTCTTATATGTCGTATTCTTTTACATCTATTAAAACAAATCTATCAATTAATTTTTAAAATAATTTTGTCATTTCTTATTTATATGACTTGACATGAAGTTGTAAACTCAAAACAAAAATAACGGAATAATGATAATATATTTTTCGACAATTCTTAGTTGGGAGAAGAAGGAAAAATTTACTCCTAATAGATATTAGATTCGTAACCTAATGAAAGAAAAGAGTTGTTAACTAAAAACTTTTAATTATTTGTTATATAAATTATTGACACGAGAATATATTTTTAAGAGCATACAAGTATAACATAATCGACACATTTGAAAATTATAATAAGAATTAGAGTTTGTTTTATATGTCATTGAAATACGACTTTCATTTTAAATTAGTCTTTTAGCTTTTAAATATTTTAATTTTATCTTTAAATTATGACTATCATTTTAAATTGATCCTCATACTTTTAAAGAATTTAATTTCATTCTCAAACTATAACATTCATTCTAAATTGGTCCCCAAATTTTTAAACATTCCAATTTCATCCCAATTTATATGCATATACTAATTACATCTATTGTTAGTAAAATCATTATACCAAGTTATTTATTATATGTTTGAGGGGGGGGGGAAACAAAATTTAGGTTAAACTATGATTGAAACTAATTATATATTTGGATGAATTTGGGGATAAATTGGAATATTCAAAAATTTAAGGACCAATTAGAAAGAGGGTAATAATTTAGGGATGGAATTAGAATATTCAAAAATTTAAGAACTAATCTATAATGAGAGTTATAGTTTGAGGATGAAATTATAATATTAAAATGTTTAAAGACCGATTTAAAATAAAAATTATAATTTAAAGACACATGATGTAATTAACTCTAAGAATTAATTTAACAAAGTAAAAAAAACAAAATAAATAAATAAATTTAGACAAACCCAGACGTAAATATTATAACATTAAATAAAAAATTAAGATCTAAAATAGATCTCAACCTTAAAAAACTAATTAATAATAATTTAAATTCAATTAAATTATTGAAAATTTGTCCAAATCTTAGAGTTAAAAGTTTAAATTTAGCATAAATGAAATGATATCAATAATGTATATAGAGATATAAACATTTATTATAGAATAATTAAAAAGTATTTAAATAAATTCTATTTTATATTCAACTCACAATTATAAAAAAAATAAAAAAAAAATCAAATTTACTTGTATAAATTAAACAATCTCAATAATCGACAAACTTATTTTTATCTTTTAATATTTTGAATTCCGAATCTTACATGTCAAATCGTTTAGCATTAATCATTTATCATTTACAGCCAAAAATCCGAATGACCTTCTTCTTCCTCCTTACTCGCAATTTACTTGCTTTGAAAACCGGCCTTTATTACGTATCTGCCACTGCGATCGACTCGCCTTTCATTCTCCTCCATCTCAATCTCTCATTCACCCATCAACCTCTCCAACTCTCCGAGCAAACCCACGCGCGAGTCTACTTCCTTGGGTTCACTTGTAACCCATTTTTAGCCTAAAAGCTCCTCTCTTTATACCCCTCTTTTGGGCACTTAACCGAGTCAAAGACCCTTTTTGATTCGGTTCAAGACATGTTTATCTTTGGAACTCGATGATCAATCGGTGTCTCAAAAATTACTCGTATGTTGAAGCTTTTAATTTGTTCTGCAAAATGGGTCGTTTCAACGTAAAGCCTGATGATTTTAATTTGGCAACGGTTTCGAAAGTTGCTGCGGGTTAAGAGACTTGGTAGCGGGGAAATCGATTCATTGCCAAGGTATAAAAACTAGGTTGGTGTTGGACATCGTTGTTTCCAATTCTTTGATTTCAATGTACGGGTAATGTAGAGAGTTTGAGGAGATGAAGAATGTGTTCGACGAAATGTCTGAGATAAGCGTGGAGTCTTGGAATGCATTGA